AAAATCGTATGTTCTGCCTGTCTGCAAAACAAGAATAAGTTTTAGCAGCATTCCATCTCTTTGCCTTGATAGCAATCCTTTAAAGTGGGTTGAAAAAATAACTAATTTAGGTTTTGTTATAAATACTAACCTTAGATGTACTGACCACATCAAATCCATCGCGTGCCAAATATATGGCACCCTAAGAAATCTTTGTCATTCCGCATCGTATACTCCTATGCCTATTAGAAAAAAACTTGCTCGTCAATTAGTTCTTCCCATCCTCACTTACTCTGAGGTGGTTTATAGCAAGCTTGATTCTAGGTCATCTCATAAAATTGATACCTTATTCAATCATAACGCGTCGTTATGTTTATGAAATACGAAAGTTTGACCACATATCTGCTTGGAGATGTAGCTTATTGGGCTGCGAGTTAACCGATTATTTAAAAGCTAGAAATTGCATATTTCTCTTCAGGCTGTTATCCACAAAGACTCCGCTTTACTTATATGAAAAATTTATCTTTCCTAAGTCTGAACGCTCTTATGATTTAATTGTACCTCATTTTAACTATAAAAACTCTACTAGGCTGTTTTTTGTCAATGTTATGAGAGTGTGGAGCTCTATTCCTGCCACTATTAGGAGCACAATGAACAAAAGCAACTACAAGAATGTATGAGGTGGGTTTTGTCGAAGGCTGAGGTATGCTCAGCCGCTCCAGAGTCCAGCGAAGGTCCCACTAATCCCCGCCAAATAAAACACAATAACTTGTGTATTAAGTCGAACACACCCACACACACACGCCGCTATCTAGAACAGTGCCCGCCAAACTTTCCTGAGAAACGAACTATATTCGGCCTTTCACATGTACACAATCGGCTTCTTACACGTACACAATCCGAACCAGGGATGAAAAAGTAGGTACAACTGTACCTTTTTCCGACGTTTGATGACTTAAAGGTACATTAGGTACAGACACTAGATTTTAGGTACAATCATCTTTTGATCAGATGCATTTTTAGTTTTTTTTTCTTTTTCCTTTACCGTGCTAGTAT